CGGTCTATATAGCTATACTAAGATTATATAATACATTTGTATATAGTTCTAATTGAATAAAGTAGATAGGAAAAGGAAATAAAAACTTATCCTTCCTCGAACTTCTTTATTAAAACCTACAGGCAATCTTTCAAGTAATCCTTTCAAATCCTTTGAATCGTTTATATTATAGATCTATTATAAGTTAAATATTTTTATTTTTATTAAAATTTAATTGAAAATAAAAAGATTGATATGAAATTCATTATATATAAACTATTTTATTATTGAAAAATATATTAATAATTTGTATGATTTTTGGTGTGATTTTAGTGTTCAGCAATTAGCTGTGCCTTAGTACTATAACGGCTCTGTATGAATATATAAATGACCGAATGTATATATGAACGTGTATAGATGGCATAGTGTAATGTGTATACTCATAGATAGGTATGTATTGCTAGATGAATGACTGAATAGATGGCGTGGTGTGATGTGTATATTTGAATGAATGAATGAATGAATGGATGTATATATATGATGAGATATCATAATGTGCCCTATACGTATAACTACGCAGTCCATATTCAACCAAGGTATTTACTATTCACTCATTCATTTACTTACAAATATCCAGAGTGTCCAGATATCAAAATCACAAAATCACCATCAATTATACACATATAAAGAACCCACTCATCAAAGTAAACATAATAGAATAGAATTGGAGAGAACAGAACATAGAATTCAGATATCATATCCTATCCTATCTTATCCTATGCTATCCTATCCTATAAAACCATATCCATCTCTCATATCCATCTTCCATATCATATCATATTGTGTTGTATTTAATGTCTGTCTTATTTGCACCCCATCCCGCATTCCCCATAATGAAAAAAAAGAGAGAAACCCCAAACTCACTCCATAGCACCTGCCCATACATACCATAAAGAAAATTTGAATTCGAATTGAATACTGTGAGAAGAGATAAATGAATATCTTTTCTTTCCACACTTCTTTCCTTCCCTGCTTCTTCCTTCCATGGCTAAAATTGTGAACCGAGTATGTAGGAATCGAAAGTGGAAGGAGCCATGAAGATAGATTGGAATAATTGTCCTTAAAACCAACCCAATAAGCAAATACGATAGAACAATCGAATCAAATCAAAACGATTCCATGCTTTTTGGCAATCAATCCATTCATCGCCATTCCTCGCTTTCTTTTGATGCCCATCAAAAATCAAAATGAGAACCAGAAGATCAAATGAGAAGAAAATGTATGCATACACGCATGCATGCAGTGGATGGAAAAAGTGTTAATGCAAGTAGCAGCAATGTAGACGAATGAATTCATCAAACCACGTATTCATCCTGAGAAATCAAACTCAAGTCAAGATCTCCACTCAAGCTGTTGAAGTTTCATCAGCTTTAACTTCAGAATCTTTGCCATCAAGTTTTTCAGCTGTATCAGCTACATCGGCTGCAACTTCTGCTTTGGCTACATCTTCCTTTGATGCAGATGAGTTGGTCCCGTTGGTACCATTTGTTTCTGGGATTGTTGGTTCTTTGGTTTGTTTTTCCTCTGAGGTTGGTGAGACTTCCTCTTGAGTTTCTTCTGCAGTTTCGTTCTCATCTTTCTTTTCAATTTCATTCTCTCCAATAGTAGCGTCTTCCTTCTCAACTTCTTCTTTCTCAACACCAATCAACCCTTCTACAAGCTCAAGTGTACCCTTAGGACTTCCAGCTTGTGCAGCCAACACCTTTCCAGATTTGTCAATGACAAATACACCTCTAGTGGTGCCCTTTGAATTTTTCAAACCGATTGCGGAGATGAGTGAAGATTTTGTGTCGCAAAGGAGTGTATAAGGAAGTTTTTGATTGGTTTTGAAGGTGGTGTTGGATTTGGGGGAATCTTTGGACAGACCATAAACGGTGTAGCCGGTTAAGAGGAGGGTAGGGTGAGAGTCGCGGAAAGCGCAGACTTGAGCTGTGCCTTGTGGAAATTAGTGATTGTATAAGGATTGAATTGAATGGATGAAAAATGGGATTGAGATGAATGGGTGGATGGATGGATGGATGAACATTGAAGGAGTAGGATACTTACATCCAGGAGTAGAAGCTTTAGGATAAGTAAAAAGTACAACACCATTCTTACTCTCGGAAACAAGTTTCTCAAGTGTAGTCTTTTCACCTTCATTCGTTTCAATTTCTCCACCGAATCCTTTAAGATCGATGGTTTCACCAGCTACAGCTTTTGTTGTTGCTGCAGCTGGAGCTGCAGCTGAAGCTTTAGAAGCTTTAACTTGAGGCAAGGGAGCTGGAGCTTCGACTTTAGTTTCAGTCTTTGCTTTAGATCCATTTGTCTTTGGTGCCGGAGCAGCTTTGGTAGCTTTTGTAGCTTTTGGTTCGGCGACTTTCTTAACAGTTTCTTTAACCTTTGCGACGGTCTTTGCGACAGCTGACTTCTTTTTAGCAGGAGGAGCTGGAGCTGGTGGCTCAGCTGGAGCAGGACGTTTTCTCAATGTAACGGGCATGATTGTGTATTGTGTTTGAAGATATTGGTGGTTGCAGATGGTTGTTTTGTTGCTGTTGTTGTTGTTGTTGTTGTTATTGACGAGGTTGATTGTCGCGATTTTTGGTTTGCGATAAAGATGGAGATCTTATCCGAGATGGATGGAGAAGTGGTTCGATGAAATACAAATCACTGATAATTGAGTAGATAATAATAATAAAAAGGTGTTATGTATGATACTTTTGGATTAAGAAAAATGAGAGATGAATAAGAAGGAGTGAAGAGAGGAAAGATAAAAAAGGAAGATGTTATGTAGTTAATTATAAGCTGAGCAATCAGTCAATAATCTCCTCACTCCCCATCCATTCTCTCCAGCCACGGGGGCTCTGGTTACTTCCTATACCGTGCAAAAAACAAACAAGGTAGGTTACTTTTAGGGGAATGATAGCTAGTTTGGCCTTTTTGGGTGGGTGTACAGCAATTCACGCGTTTTGGTATACTTAGGTAGTTCTATGATCTGTTTGAGACGGGGTTTTTGGAAATGTACGTATTGTTTACTTGATCTAGAGAGTACTTTGTCTGTTGTATGTATCTACTAGGTAGATATTGGACATATTAGTATGTGTCTGTCTATATTCTGTATTCTGGACAAGTTACTCGAAGAGGATTTAGGAAATATGAGATGAGTATCCAGTTCCAACCTATCAAGGATCATTGAATGGGGATTCACAAGACGGAAGTCTGGATTGATTGGTGGGTTTTGGTTGGTTTGTGCATGCAAAACATGAATTGGCAAAGTCGGGGAAGGGGAAAGCTTTAGTACGAAGTACAGGAATCAGGATGGCTCGATGGATGAAGAATTGTGGAGTGGAGTAAGAGAGATATTGACTTGCTTGGTTGTGTGTATGTAGTATGGAATTGTCATTTGTGTAAGAGAGAAAGAGGAAGAGAGAAAGAGAGAGGAGAGGAGAGAATCACTTTACCTATTGCTGCGGTACTTGTAGATGGTATATATCTAGATAGACATGGGAATTCGACTCTCCGTTCAGATACTGCAATGGAAACCCTTTTGGAAGGATAGCTCATACGATGAAGATATATGAGAAGTGCTGATACCTAGTATTTATTACCTAACTACCTACCCACATACCTTACATAGCTCTGGATGATATAACCAGAATCAGAATATCTTCGAATGATATTAATACTCCAACTTCATTTGATCATCAGTGTCAAAATCAATTTCATATACTCCAATATCATGAGGTTAAATCTACTCGAGAGATCCAACCAAAGGTTTGAGGTTATTTGTAATGTCATCTGCCGTTACTTGATACCATTACTAGATATATATCTTACATCTCGAGACACGCCCAAACAGACACTTACTTTGGTGCGAAATCCTATGAACCTACAGAAAAGTCCAAGCAAATATCACAATATCGTAAGGTTAAAGTTGTAACCTCGACAACTGTAAAGTTCCTATTGTCTGATTAATGGGCTTTGATACCCGTTGTGCATGGGATCTGAGAAGAGGGACACCGAGATATTATCAGTATCAAGTACCCTCGCACCACACCTTCCAAGACTAGTCCACCAGCCCAGGTCCCTCAAAACTAACCTCCAGCTTCCAACAGAGACCAGCTAAGAGGAAGCGTAACGGGAGCCCCGCACATCAACCAAGCACTACTGTAGTAGCTTGTGAGTTGTAATAAGTTGTCGCCTGTACATAGCATAGTACAAATAACAAGCTTCAGGTTTTGAGCTTGAATGATAGCCAAGCTAGAGTCTCGAGTTCTCATCGGGTCAAGTCTTTTATGGTTTGATCTCTACTCCTCTGTACAGTATTATCACACTACCACATCGAATACCTTGAATGTAAAGGTCCTCGGATAATATCCCGAGTTGTTCCCTGGTTTAATATAGTTGGTTGGCCAAAGAGTAACTTAAAGTCTCAGGTCTCAGGTCCAAGGTCCAAGGTCCAAGGCCAATATCGTGGCCCGAGGGAAAGAGATATACGATGTACTGGATTGGACCGAAATGGTCTCGAGACTGGTTAACCGGTACAATGGATAATATGATATTTGCCATTCATTCTATCATATCATTACCCGGACCCATGAATGTACGAAGTAGGTAGGTAAAGTCGGATCCCTTCAATTCCAATTTCAATGTCATTTGTTGGGTTAACCTTATACGTCCTTGAACGGTCCTCGAACGGTCCACTGGTGCTGGTCCCTGAATAACGATGATACTGATGATCCAAATGATGTAGGTAATTAATCCACATTCAATCACCAATCCAAATTCATGATAAACCATAGAAAACCCCTCGATAAGTAATACCTGGTAATTCCACCACTTTCGATCAGATCTCGTATTAGGAGTTGAACACGACCATTCGTCCGGGAATCGGAGAAACGATAACCAAGGTCAAAAGGGACGGACGATATCTTGAAGATCTTCTCTCTTCTTCTTCTTCTTCTTCTTCTTAAGATCAAAGATCAACAACCATACCATATGGAGAAGAGAAGGAAGAACCTTCGAGGAACCTTGACTCTCGAGGTCTTGAGACACCTGGGGCATGATCGGATAGAAATTAAGCGAAACCCCGATGGCGAAAGAATTTTTGATTTTCACAAGCAAAAAAAGTGAAGTAAGAAGTAATTAATAGAAAAGCCCAGACAAATCCGAATTCAATCCGACCCTTTATCTTGGAAAATTCTATCCATCTTACTAACAAATTCGATATTCCTATAACTATCTGAATCTGACTCTTCCTCCTTCTTGATTACAACGAGCAGGTAATTATATCATACATTTGTTTTGGCGCTTCAATAGATAGATTAATAGAATCACAATCAATCAAAGTTCATTCAATCATCAATCATTCAGTCGTTCCATTCACCATCGACCATTACTCATCGATACTTCAAAATATCAATCCCTACGATAACTTCTTAGTCCAAATCTCCAACAAGCACACGACCAAAGAAAGGCACACGACCAAAGGCACACGATCAAGATGAAGGTCTTTTCTAGCGATTGCAAATTCGATTATTCGTGGGAAGAGGTTTCAACAGCAAACTGGAGAAAATATTGTCCATGGAATCACAAATCTACTCATGTAATCGCCGTCGATACATTATCACGACATGTCGATGCTGAAACCGGAATTGTATGTTCTTTTCTTTTCTTCCTCTTCCTCTTCCTCTTCCTCTGCTACTCTTCCTCCTCTTCTGCTTCCATGTCCCTTCGCACAACACACAAATACTAATCAATCACAGCTACGAACCGAACGTTTAATCACCTGCCAACAATCAGCTCCAAAATGGCTTCAATCTCTCATGGGCGGTAAAGATACATCTCACGTCTTCGAAACCTCATATGTCGATCCTATTACCAAAAAAGTCACCATGACTTCTACCAATCTCACATTTTCCAATATCATCAATGTACAAGAAACGGTTGTCTATCAACCTTTATCAGCAAACACAACGCAATTTGTACAAACAGCACAGATTACTGCATTATGTGGTGGATGGCAAAAAGTGAAGAATGCAGTTGAGGACGCGACAGTCACGGCTTTTTCGGAAAATGCACGAAAAGGAAAGGAGGGATTCGAAGCAGTATTGGCAATGAGTAGGAGGGTTTTCAGTGAGGAGAAAATGAGACAGCAACAAGCCAATACTGTTACTGCATAAGGTTCGGAATTTGAAGAGAGTTTTGGAGAGGGGTTTGCATGAGAATATTCCGGTCCGATCCGAGATACACGATGAGATTTATATTATTTGAATCTCATTACATCACGACTCCAACGATCTCTCCGTTACTTTTGTCTCCTCTCCACTTCACTTCACTTCAACAATCTTCTCACTTAATTTCACCATTTACGAGTTTCGCATCATCTTGGGAGTTTTGGGATTTTCATTGCAGGTCCCGGCATACAAAAAAGTCCACTTTCGGAGTTCTAGAAGGAAAGTTTTCGGTTGGGAATTCTATTTTAAGCGCGGCGTTGCAAAAGGATAAATGAGATTTGGGTTAGGTTGGGTTTTGCTTCATAAAGGCTGTTGTCTTTTGTTGTCTCTGAAAAAGTCATGATTTTCAAAGAAAACATTCATCCTCAACGCTGATGTGGGTTATTGTTACGATACAGATACCCCTTTTTTCCTTTCTTTTCCTATTTAGTGCATCTTTTCTTCTTTGAAAGGGGAGGTGAAAATAGATGGATGGATGAGTGGGTTTATAGATGAGGCTGAATAGAGAGGGATGTAGATAGATTGAGCGAGTCAGTGAGTGAAAGACCTGAAGAGGAAGAGAATGTTAGACTTTACTTTATATCATGTCATTCTGTATGAGTGAGTGACTGTGTGATTGATGGATGCATGAAATACAAAATATGTTAGATATCGTGATGATGTATGCAACTCCTTTCTCCTCTCTTCTTCTTTGAAGACATAGGTAGATATTTACTTGGTGGCTAAGCTAGTTACTTACCTTGTCACCTGGTTAACTTTCGAGTGAGTGAGTGATTATATGAGGTTTGGGTGTATGTGCGTGTGGATATAAATGTTTCTTTGAATATGGATATGGATATGGATATGTATATGTATATGTATAATTTGGAGGGAAGGAGGGTGGATGTTTGTTATTCCTGTGGTGATAGATATGTGTTGAGATGGAGAGAACGAGATAGAGATGAAGAGATGGATTTTTCTGTTTTTCTTTTTGGTTCCGAGGCAAGGGAGGGGAGAGGATGAGGGAGGGAGAGGATTTGATAGGGTGGGGGGGGGTTGATATACAGAAGAGGGGGGAAGCGGGAGGGGTAGAGGGAGAAGGAGAGGGAGAAGGAGAGGGAGAAGGAGAGGGAGGAGGAGAGAAAGATTCTAAGCGAGTGCTTGGTTGATGAGCTGATGGAATGGTGGAATGATGGAATGGGGGGTGTGTGATTGGGGTATGATTGAGGTATGATTGAAGGGTGTATGATTGACTGATTTGTGATTTGTGATTTGTAGTGTGTGATTGGGGTATAATTGACGGGTGCATGAACGACAAATAAAAAGATAAATAAATAAGAAGATTACTAAAGAGAATAGGAAGAAGGTTCAACGGTGTTTAAAATAACAAAGAGAGAAATATTAAAAAAAAACCACATAATATAAAAGAGATTAAGAAAAGAAAGAGAGACAAAAGAGAAAAGGGGGTGGGGGTGACAAGAAGAAGAAGCAGAGAGGAGAAATAGGGAAATGAGGAGCTAGCATTTTGATACGTATTTTTTCTGATGAAGAGAGGGGAGGTAGGGAGGCTGGAAAGCGAGGTATGAGGGGAGAGGGAGGTGTATCACATACATCTCATCCCACCCCAATCATAATATCCTACGAATATTTATTCAAGAGAAGATATTGACATATATACAGCTGGTGATTCGGATAGGGGGTTGATTCGCCTTGGGATTTTGTGATACATATATATATATATATATAAATATACACACACACATTGCTAGACCTACCGATTATTCATTCATTATATTACATTCCACTCTATTTTCAGCGAATTTCGATACAAAGACGAAGTGAGAGGTATGTGGGAAGTGGAAAGGAGTTTGGTTCTCTTAAGTTAGACGGGATCTTTTCTCTCGGTGTCTTGATATGACGTAGTCATACTCTGATTTTTCTATCGTTACTTGCGTCTGAACCGCATACCCCTATTCTATTGACCCTCCTACTCAACAATCTAATCTAGGCTGCCCATCGTCCTCGTTGTCAGGTTCTTGATAGCTGTTCCTTTTCCTCTGAAGAATCGCAAGCCTCATCATAGTGTCAAGGCTCGCAGGCACTAAGAACATCGACAGACCCATAGATCACTTTCTTCCTCGCGTATCTTCACCATGAACGGACCCAAGATCATCGGACATACTCGTAGGCTCAGCATTGAGTCTCGGGGCGGATGTATTGGAAAGGGGAGGTTGAAGTAGGTATTTCCAACCGAATTGTCGTTGCCAGATACGTTGAATCTTCCCAATCCCATTCTTAAACAAGATTTCCAATCTCGAAGGAACTCCTTGTAAGATTATGAATCGTGGTTTAGCTAGGAATTCGGGATTCCGAGCGCAGAGTAGACAATTTGGGGAAGCAAAAGAGGGAATTCCCACCTCCTTTTCATTTACCCTCCTCTTCTTGCTCTGCCTTTCGTGAAATGCTGAAATGGGGATCTGTCGAACTATCCAAGATCACAGCTTCGATGTGTTTTCTTCTAGATCCCAACTACTTTTTATATCCTGATCTCTAGGCATTCCTTGGTATCCCCAATCCTTTATCCATACCCCCCTACCCCCCACTATTCAATCGCCCAGGATACATCAGAAAAGACTCCAATTTCTCGATGAGTAGCCCATTCAATGATTGGGATGGACGAGGGAAGGCAGTCTCGGAATGGGAACAAATCTCCTCGCTTTCGAATTAGAGTCACACCTTGAGTCTCCAGCTCATCTTAGCACCAGCAAGAGCAACAAAAGCGCGCCTTTCTTTACTTGAGTCTGATCTTTCAACAGAAAACCCCCGAACAAGTTCTTACCACTCATTCTCACTCCATGATTCCCGTCAAACCCCTTTGGAGTATCGATACTCTTTCCGTTTAGCACCGAACACAACATATCAGAATCCTCCAAATCCCCACCAAATATCAGACAAGAACTTCCCTTTCAATTCCAACGACTGGCAATCAATCTCTCACTTCTCCTCCCCCTCCTCCTTCTCCCTCCCAGCCTCCAACCTCTCCCCACACCTCCTCTCATATTTCTCCACCACCGCCCTAAAATCCTCCATCAAATCATCTTGTTCCAAGATCCTCTCCGACCACTTCTTCGCTTCTTCAAATCTTCTATAGAAATACAATTCTTCGATTGCGTAGAGGAATTGGGCTGTTTGTGGTTTACTGCGTGGGTTCAGGGGGAGAGGAGGGAGTGTTTTATGGATCTTTTTAGGTTGTTAGCTATGGTATTGTCTTGTCTTCAATTCTGCATTTTGCATGTGGGATATTAAGGAGAAGAGGTAAGGGGAACTGTGCGAATGAAGGGAAGGGAAACAATAGGCGAGAAGGGGAAAGGAGGAAAACATACCTCCCCAGATTCGCTCCTAGCTTTCCACTCGCGTCTTACAGCTTGGAAATTCTCTTCGGATTGGAAATCTCGAGGGACTTTTTCGGTGGTGTCGGGGGTAGATTCATCGGATGAGTCGTATTCGATTGCGAAGAGGGGGTTTTCTTCGGGGGAGTCTGACATTTTGGATGGAGGGGTGAGATATCGTATTGGTGAGCTGACACTGTGTGAATTGAGTATCTAGGTATAGGTAGCTTTATCGTGTTGTATTCTAAATAATGAAGTAACGCGTAAAGTGGGAAAGGGGAGCTAGATGATAATATAGTATGAAGGAGACAGAAGGTATGGTATGTAAGGCTAACTTAAACATGAAATAAAATCATAATATTTCCTTATCGATAAGAAATTCTACATGTCTTGTCTCAATTGACATCAGCAACCAACAACCAACAACCAGCAACCAAAGCGGGGCATATGAGGGGTTCAACGTGTGGAAGTAGCCATCACATTAGATGAGAGATTCATTGTTTCACCACATTTTGATAGTCGCAATAGTTTCATGGACATTCCATAATTACTCATAGGTATTTTCTAGTCTTGGTGCTCCGTCTAATTTTGTTGTTTTTCCACTTTCATTCACTTCCATTGCCACTTTATCTCGAGAGTTTTGACTGGTGTGAATTGTTGAGTTTACCTATATTATCCTGAGAGTTTGAAGTACCTACCTACACCCTTTAAAATGGAAGATCAAGTAACGAGATTGACGGAGAAGGTTTGGGGTATGTGATGACTCTTCTGTGTTCATATTTGGATGATATGGGAGCTAATGATTCCATTTAGAAAGTTTCCAACAAACAGCTCCTAATAGTAGATATCTCATCGCAATTTCTGGGATTCCCGGTTCAGGTGATTACATCTTCGCATTGCCCTCTTACCTCATATTCGTATTTCCCAATCTCTAACTAAAACTGTCCATAGGCAAAACCACCCTCGCAGCAACTATTACCAAACGTCTCAATGCTCTTCAAGATGCTCACTCAAACAAAACTTCCCTTCCTCCAATCGCCGGCTTCATCCCCATGGACGGTTACCATTTGACCCGCGCCCAACTATCAGCCATGCCCGACCCAGCACATGCACACGCCCGTCGAGGCGCAGAATTTACATTCGACGGCCCCGCATTCCTCTCTCTTATTCAGCGTCTTCGCGAACCACTTACTACATCTACAATCACAATCCACGCTCCATCTTTCGATCATGCGCTCAAGGACCCCAAGGCTAACGATATACCAATTGAACCCACGACCCGGATATTAGTTTTCGAGGGCAATTATTTGTCGTTGAATAAGGAACCGTGGAGGAGCGCTGCGAAATTGATGGATCAGCTTTGGTTTGTGGATGTAGATTTTGAGGTTGCGAAGAAGAGGTTGATTCCGAGACATGTAAAGGCGGGGATCGCGGAAAATGAGGAGGATGCGGAGAAGAGAGTCGTGGAGAATGACTTGGTTAATGGGGAGGAGATTGTGAAGGGAAGGATGGAGGTTGATGAGGTTATCGTTAGTACGAATGATGTTGCTTGGAAGTAGATTTGGTGATGTGAAAGAGTAAAGAAAGAATAGGCGAACCCCAGTCCGTAAACCGCGGATTATGCATCATTCATATTGAAAGCTTAGCCGGTCTAATCTAGCAATGAACTTTTTACCATTTCGGCATCCCTTAGCAGTCGTAGCACATCTGAAACTAAATAAAGACTACCTGCCACAACGATAGGACCACCTTGAGCAACAGTGGCTGCCCATCTTAGTGCTCCAGAAATATCCGCTGCTGAATCATGCAAGCAAGTAGTAGAAATACCAGCTGTAGAAGCTGCATGTAATATATCTTCTGTATCCATAGCTTGAACCCATGGCATGCCATCCACGGGTCCGAACTGAACTGCTGCTACACAGTCCCCTTCTCTTAAAATCTCTTTCATAATTCCATCGAGCTCTTTCCCTTGAGATGCAGCCAATACCCAGGTTACTTTGTTTGATTTCGTCCGAAGCTTTCCATTAACATATGAGCCAAGAACTTCTGCGGACTGAACATTGTGTGCACCATCGAGTAGTATGGGTTCTTTTCGACCTGTCACAGCTCTAACATCAGTGGTTTGAAGCCTACCGGGCCAATGTATATTTTGTATAGCTGGTAATAGTCGATGTAGAGGAGATTCCAGTTTGGTATATGCTAGATGAAATGCTGTGTATGCGCAAGCTAAATTTTCCAATTGATGTGGTTCGAAATCTTGTCCTTTGATTTCATCCAAAAATGCCGATTCAGTAGAACTGATTACCACATCTGTTCCAATTTCTTTGGCATGATTTGAGACGACATCCCGCACCGAAGATATATTGCTCCTATCCAATACACATGGAACACCAGGTCTCATGATTCCAGCCTTTTCTCGAGCTATTTCTTCAATTGTATTTCCTAGAAATGATTGATGGTCTAGACCAATCTTGGAGATTACTGTGACCGCTTTATTCTCCATAGTATTTGTTGCATCTAATCGTCCTCCCAAACCAACTTCGATTACTCCCATCTCTACTTTCTCTTTATAAAATACTTCGAACGCCGTGGCTGTGAGTAATTCGAATTCGGATGCTTGGAGATTCTCTGCTTGATTTCTCTTCAACACTAGAGCTTCAGCTTCGCGGAAGATCGATTCTCGAATTGGTTGATCATCGATAGTAATACAGTCCCACCGATCAATTAAATGAGGTGAAGTAAATCTGCCACAACGAACACCACTGGCATGCAGCATGGCAGACAAATAGGCACATATTGAACCTTTTCCATTGGTACCTGCAACGTGAATGGCCTTCCAAGGTTGAGGAGTATGCCTCAAAAGACGACTGATGCGATTTAAGCCAAGCTCAATCATGGTGAAGATGGAGAATTGAAATGATTGGCTCAAGTGGGCGTTTCAAGAAAGACTTTGTGATAATGTAAGCTAAGTAACTATTTCTTTCAAGTAAAGATAGACATTGTCAATATGATTGTCATCGATTCATTCTGTTCCAAGGTTGTTCTAGAATACATACTTTGTTGCTGTCGTCGCATCATATAAAATGTGAGTCAATCGTGATATCAGAGGATCTCCCAACGTCCCAAGCTAATGAGAGCTTCAAGTACCGGATCCCTAGTAATGATAACTTTGAATGTGCAAACCTTTGGAATCCTTGGAATTGGTCTGGTCTTTTTAGTTATCGATAATCGATATCAATTATCAATTACGCAGTAACCTAATGTATGCAAGTACTATTGTCATGGATGTATGTATGTATGTATGTGTGTATGTCTGTGGCTACTTTCTAGTAGAAGTACCTACCAGTCCGTAGATCCATTTTAATTACCTACTTGACTGGGTATTTAGCGCGATTTTTGGGGGGAACGCGATCGATCTCTCAATTCTTCCCCCAGAGTCTTCCTTCTCTTTTCTTCTTCACTCTCTCACTTCTACTTGCATGAGCAACCTTCAAATATCACATACATCGCCAATTGTCAATTCAGAACTCATCAAAATCGTGATAAAGAAGAATAGAATCACGGGTTTAAATACCTTTATCTTTTTCTATTAAATTTTTAATACCTTCTATTCACTCTCTTTCACTCAAAACATGGGTTTACCGTAAGTCATCAATTCCCCCCCCCCCTTCATTCTCGCCTGTCGCATTGCGCCAAAATCCATACTCATTCCAGAATCATAGAATATTTTTCAAGCCTTCGGAGCCTGATTCCTCATCAAATTCGACAGAAGATCCCACTTCTCGCGCACGATCTACCATTCGAGGTCATGCTCCCATTCTTCGAAGTACTTTGCGCAATCCTTCCTCGCGTGCTACTAACCGTCCGCGTGTACATAGCGCACGGAGGCGGGCGCCCACAGATGATGTTGAACAACATCGTTTTTACTACAGTTCTGATCCATATCGTAGTGTACTCATCGCTGCTCCTTCTAGATCTTCAATAACAACAACAACTAGCGATGCAATGGGACATGCGAGGAGAAATGATTCATCGTCACCAGAAATTCCAATAATAACATTTAGGCCGAGTGCCTTCACAGATTTTATCAATGCCAATGATAATTATGATGATGAGGAGGACGAGGATGAGGACGAGGACGATGGACCACCGATGCCCGCTGTTCCAGAATCCAGAGATTTCTCCAATCCTTCAAATATAGAGTCGCGAGATTCTTCAAGACGTCATCAGCGATCGATCGATACTCCATTATTTGGAGCTCACGGCATACCTCTCGCCTCTCTTCTCTCTCAAACATCTTCGATTCCAGAACAGCGCTCTGGGGTAGTATCCCCCACTCGAATTGATGCCAGAGACACGAACCGCAATGTAAGCTCAAATTTAATAAGTACCCAAGCATCGCAGTATGTGGAGTAAGTATGAACGTAAAGATCACTGCTAATTACTTTGTTAGAATGCATTAGCAGAACGTCTCGGTGAAACAAATTCACAAGATTTCTTGGCGCAGAGGCATCAGGTGAGACGGCGAGATATAGCAGCAGATCGAGACCGGCGCATTCAGCGACGCATGCGTGGAGAGCGACGCAGTCTTGATGCCACGTTAAGACAAGAACTAGTTCAACACCCCCGCCATCACGATGCGGTCGAATATCGACAGCGATTCTATAGCCATGAAGCACGACGCATCAGCGATTTTAGAGAACAATTGCGGATCAGGGAACGAATTCGAGCTTCTAGAGAACGAATGCAGGATAATAGAGAGTCCACTCCCGCCAGAACCGAAGGGCTATTGCAAGGTCTTCGAGAAATTGTAGACCGGTCCGCTCGACCTAGATCTGAAGATCAACTGCTTGCTGAGGTAGAGCGACCTGGAATACAGAGAGAGGGACCTCTAGCTGATGAAGCGCAACTCACGTGGTACGCCCACTCTGGCCGTGGAGAACAGCAGACCAACACGCCGCACAGTGAAATAGAGCAAACAGATCCATCAATTACTTCTAGTTCCATAGAGCGGCAACGATTTGCATCATTTGAAAGGATGCCTAATCATCTCGATGTTGAGGGTAACGGACTAGAAGCCACCCAATCTAATACATCACCGCAGTCTGTGGAAGGAGGAACTTTCAGAATAAACACCAATTATGACGGCCTCGGTGATCGAGAACGTAGCATTGAGTTTCAGGAGCCAGAGAGGGGACACGGAGAATTTGATGACCATTACTTCATAGATAATGTTGAGCAACTCAACGTTAACGACCGTAGTGACTTGAGGCATGATTTAGATCTAGAAGGTCAAGAGTCATGGGATAGTATCGTGATCACGCCAGATCCACAATCACCAAATCCGTCATCTTCATTTGCTTCAACCGCTGCGTCTAGCTCACAACGACCTTCTCTAGGAACCTCTGTCAGTAGTGTGCCCGAGAATGAGTCTCTTACGATTGGTAATTGCGACAATCAATCAGATGTAACAAGCGACGATGAGGCACTTGTCGCAGCTATGGAAAATTTCGAACGATATACACAAAATCGCCCAGGCCCTGCATATGCTGAACAACCTATCGGTCAACATAGAGCATTCGCGGGGTGATGCATCTATTGACTTGGCCTTGGATTTCATTCATCTATCGATAATTAGATTTCATTGCCATTTTAAGGACGGGAGTTGTTTTTCTGAGAGGAGATCAAGCACGCGATTGCAGAATGATTTACCACCATTCTGATGATATACTGTATTATTACACTGGCGTTCGGTTAAGCGGGTGGATTTGAGAAATCTACTTTCTGTTTGTTCGTGGTTATGATCAAACAAGCAATAATATGGGCTTTCGTCATTCACGATTTAATGATTGCCATAATGGAAGATCAATTTGATCAAGGAGTATTGGATTACGAGCCTTATAGGGGAGTTATTGGACATTGAAAAGGCAAAATTGGGGGAGTTGATTCTGGCAAAATACCTACTTTATGCCTACTTTATGCCAGAGGGTTCCAGTTTTTTAGACAATCAGTACATAGGTATCAAATACTTCGCAGGCGACCTGACCTTTGATGAAGATATCAATGAGTGGATATGAGTATGAAAAAAGATGTTGATAGATGATTTTTAGTCAGGGTGGTTTGGTTGATTGATCACGTCGGTCCTTCCTCCCTTTTTGTATACCTACCTATTGTCACATATAAGAAGAGGTATTATTCCTTTTTTCTTGACTCCATCAATTTGAAATGAATCAAAAAAAGCAACATCATGAGACAATCAAAACAATAGATGGCGTTTCCCCAAAGACAATTGTTGAATCAGATGTTGCAAGTTTCCCTTGTCATATCAAGATTATCCATCTCTCTCTATCTCTATCTCTATCTCTATCTCTACCGCCGAATTGATGATTTACGACCATCAGCCTTATTAGGCACGCCATACTTTATTTAGATGCAGCTCGCCAGAGAGAGGGAGTGGTTGCGACTTCAACAGGATCCACCCATGTAGGCGCTTGTTTGCCAATTTTGTTTAATCTTGCCTTGCCCAATGTTTTAATCTCTCTCCTTCTGATAATGCTCCATAACTCATAACACCACGCTTCGTTTTTTTTTCTTTTGTAATGATTGGACAAACATTCATACACCATACTTCAACATTCAAGAATGTTTATTATCTTCAAGACACAAACATCAAATTCAAATTCAACATAATACCATACAAACAGTGAATTTCTTTATATCCACTCTCGCGTGCTATTTTCGCTGTGCAGTGAGGGCCAGGATCCACCAATATCGACAACCTTGAATATAGTCCTATAACCCCGCCAAATAATCGTCGTGAAACAGGAACCGGAATCTAGTCCACAAAACACGAAAAGCTGATGCTTCAATGAGATCCTCCATCTGCCAGAGAAATATACCTCTAGCAGCCCTCCTCTCCACCCTCTGAAACCTTCCACCCGGGGTCATCGCACACCGACCATGGTTTCTCGTCCACCCTCCTCAGCCGACCGGCAAAGCAATTCAAGATCGGCGGGCGTGAATGGGAGTGCGAAGGCAGATAGGACTCCAGGGACACCGCGGAGAGAAAGAAAGGAAAAGGCTGTGCAGGATCCAGGACTCAAAGACTACGTACACACCCGAGGTTTTCAATAGAGGAGATACACCTACTTATAAATGTTCAGCGTCTAGGAGAATGTCTCGGGAAGGGAGCATTTGGTTCGGTCTACAAGGCGTTCAATTGGGGCACAGGGGAAGCTGTGGCTGTGAAGCAGATCAAGCTGGGGGACCTCCCAAAGAGCGAGTTGCGGATGATTGAGGTAGATTGAAATGTTGAGATGGTTTGGACTACGTACTAATGCTACCTGCAGGCCGAAATAGATCTTCTCAAAAATCTGCATGTAGGTTTGCAATTGAGTTGGGAGAGGCAAAACTGTTTGAGCTGACATTTCTTAGCACGACAATATTGTCAAATATCTTGGTTTCGTTAAGTCTTCAGACTGCTTGAACATAATTCTGGAGTAAGACATCTCGTGTTCTTGTTGCTTTGCCACATTGTACTGACAATAGTCTAAGGTATTGCGAAAATGGTTCTCTACACTCGATATGCAAAAGTTATGGAAAATTTCCTGAAAACCTGGTTGGTGTTTACATGGGACAGATACTTTTAGGACTCCAATATCTACACGATCAGGGTGTGATTCACAGGGACATAAAGGGCGCGAACATTCTTACAACAAAAGATGGGAAGGTCAAGCTTGCGGATTTTGGTGTGTCTACTAGCACTCTTGCTGGAGCAGATAAGGAGGCACAAGTTGTTGGAACTCCGTACTGGATGGCTCCTGAGATCATTCAACTTTCTGGTGCAACTCCCGCATCTGATATCTGGAGTTTGGGTTGCACGGTAATTGAACTACTTGAGGGTAAGCCTCCGTATCACAAATTGGCTCCTATGCCAGCTTTGTTTGCTATTGTCAATGATGATCACCCCCCTTTGCCCGAGGGAGTTTCACCAGTGAGTCGACGTTAATATCCTCTTTGAAGCCAACACTAAATATTTCCTAGGCGGCTCGAGATTTTCTCATTCAGTGTTTCCAAAAAGACCCAAATCTAAGGGTTTCTGCACGAAAATTGTTGAAACATGCTTGGATTGTGGGCTCACGCAGAACTGATGCTCCTATTGCAAAGCCCCCAACGAATTTCAATGAAGCGGTCGAAGAGGTAAAGCAGTGGAATGAGGCTTTAAAATCTCCCACCAGTGCCGGGACATTTCGTACTTCTACGAGGTCGCAACAGCTTGGTAGCCCCTTACCAGCGCGTCGAGATCCTCCTCTGAGGAATATCCAGAATGAATCGCAAAGCAATAATATGATCACCCCTCCGAAGGGCCCCCTCTCTGTGGCGAAACCGAAAAGTTTGGCGAGTTCTTTTAGGTCTCCAGAAACTTCAGGTAAGCGAGTCTCACTAGGAAATTTCAAAAATTCCTTGTGGAAACTGACTGTTGAAGCGGACGATAATTGGGATGATGACTTCGCTTCTTCTATATCTCCAAGTGCGCTTCAACTTCCACATCTAAAGCCTCATGACAATTTCGGAGGTCTCCTTTCCGCTGATCGCCTCAAGTCTTTTGCATCATTCGAGTTCGCAAATGATGAATCCGATAATTGGGACAACAACTTTGAGGGTGATCTTGTGACAATCAAGGGCCCCAAAACCCATGTCGAAACGGATGGCCATGAATTGGAGACAATTCGACCATACAAAATCAAAGCTCCCACTAATATAGATCTTGAAGAGGACCTTTCTCCTAGAAGTTGTTCGAGAAAGCCATCTATCCCTTCTCGTCCGAGATCTCCTGTTAAGGCTCGGGCTGAGGGAAAATTTGCCTTGCCTTCTAGACCGGCAATAATGTATCGCGAGACTACTGTAGAAGACTATTCAGACCTATTCGTTGACAATGATAGTATTTTTGACAAAAGATTGGATATAATTAAAGTCAGTATCTCAAATAAGCTTTCCTGCGCATCACTAATATGTATGTTTCTAGGACGATGCTCTTTCTCCGAAACTCTTCCATCCATCTGACCTGACAAGCGTTCCGCGATCTGCTCAATCTCCTACTACAAATGGAGGTAGCAGTTTACGAAGAAAAACCACTCCCAATTCTCATGATAACCCATCCATACATCGTACAAATTCATCAGTTGAGATACAGAAATACGCGGAAAATGAGGATGATGAAGATTTCTCAGACATATTTGATCCACGTGGGGCTGTAGTTCCTAGGATTGAGACTGACAAAGGCTCAGGAGAAGCACTAATGATCAACTCAAAATTCTCACACAACTCCTGGCTTGGTGACGAGGATGATGAAGATGACCCATTTGCTTCATTGGAGCAAGGTTTCGATGAAATGGATTTACAAGCCAACATTGCCAGAGATAAACATGCTCGATTATGCGCATCAGTGGAAGGATTAGTGAGTTCACTAAAAGCAACACAAGCCGAGCATGTATTGTCTGAATTGTCTGAACAATTGGTATGTTTCTTTCTAACTATGGTGGATTTCCGTGTTAATGTGGAAATTAGCTTGATGTTTTGTACGAGTCCGAAGATGCAAAGGGCTTGATCATAAGTGCTCACGGAATGCTTCCAATTTTGGAAATACTGGAACCGTGTACCTTGAAAAGCCGTCAAAGTATGATATTGAGATTATTGAAGGTCGTCAACGCAATCATTTCGAATGACGTCGAAATTCAAGAAAATCTCTGCTTTGTCGGAGGAATTCCTATCATCACAAAGTTTGCTGCTAGGCAATACTCAAATGAGATACGTCTTGAGGCTGCTGCTTTCGTAAGACAAATGTACCAAACTTCTACTTTGACACTTCAAATGTTTGTCAGTGCTGGTGGACTGAATGTTCTTGTTGAATTTCTTGACGAGGACTATGATGATGCTAGGGATTTGGTTCTCATCGGTGTCAATGGCATTTGGAATGTTTTTGAGCTTCAGGTATGTCAGTATATATGATACTCAAGCTGATAAACTAACACCTCAACAGGGGCCAACTCCAAAGAATGATTTCTGTCGCATCTTCTCGAGAAGCAAGATCTTATCCCCATTGGCGCTCGTCTTAGATCGTGTGTTAGATGAAGATGATGAACTTTCTGAACTTATTGAAGGTCGAATTGTCAACATATTCTATCTTTTCTCTCAAGCGGAAAACTACGTCAAGGAGGTCGTGGCTGATCATGTAGTACTCAAACGTAGGTGTTCTTGCAAGTTTGCATTACGATTGTTCTAACAGCATTTTAGGGGTTCTCAAAGATCTGAGACGAATGACACCAGCGCATCAAATCACTATGCTCAAGTTCATCAAGAATCTATCCATGTTATCAACAACTCTCGAATCTTTGCATGCCGCAAATGCAATCGAACTTCTAATCGATCTACTAAGCTCAAGTATGAAGCGCACGCCTGATCACTTCCGCGAGATTTCTAATCAAGTTCTGAATACTATGTATAACTTATGTCGACTCAGTAAGGAGCGACAGGAGGATGCAGCCTTCAACGGTATAATACCATTACTTCAACGAATTATGAAGACAAAAC